GCATGTTCTTGTGTTCTTAAGTCCTAGAGGCAAATTGCCATTCAACCCTGTTTGCAATCTAGTGGGGGCAAATATTGTCTTAAGGGCAGTGTTTGACACGATTAGAGCACTTTCAATTCTTTGTGAATTTCCTTTTGTTGTTGAATTTCAGATTCCATCAATAAAGTTTCTTTTCTCCATCTTTGTTCTTTGGTTCATATTGTGTTGTTTCTTTTGTTTCCATCCCCCGATTTATTTCAATCTTAAGACAATATTTATCATGGAATCAACACAAGAGTCTGCCATGAAAGTGATGAACCAAGACTTTGTTAAGTTGGATCGTCTTGATGGATCTGGCACTAACTTCAACCGTTGGAAGGACAAGTTGATATTCTTTCTCACGGCCTTGAAAGTGGCTTATGTTCTAAGCCCCAATTTGGAGGAGATCCCACCGCCTGCGGAAGGAGAGTCTGATGCAATCAAGAAGAAGCGTGCACAACGTGAGGAAGATGAGATCATTTGTTGTGGTCACATTCTCAACAACGTGTCAGATTCAGTTTATGATCTCTTCTCAAATGTGAAAAACCCAAGAGAGATTTGGGTTGCTATTGAAAGGGAGTATGCAAATCAGAAACAAGGGGCAGATAAGTTTCTCATTAAAAACTACTTTGAATTTAAGTTACTTGCTAATTCTCCTCTTATGGATCAAATTCACAATCTCCAAGTTATAGTATCAAAACTAAAAGACATTGGTGTTGAAATCTCAGAATCTTTGCAAGTTGGGGCAATTATTGCCAAGTTGCCTCATACTTGGAACAATTATCAAAAGAAACTGTTGCACACTTCTGAGAATTTGACTGTGTCTAATGTTTTGAAACACTTGAGAATTGAAGAAGGGGCAAGACTTCTTCAAAACTTGGCAATTGGAGAAAATTCTAATAAAGTGAATTTTGTGGCTGAAAATGGGGCCAACAAAAATAAGAGGAAGAAACCTGGAAATTCTAATGACAAGAAAAAGAATAAAAAATGTTTCAACTGTGGTGTAAAGGGTCATTTTAAGGCCGATTGCAAGTCTAACAAGAAGCAAAAGGGAAATAACATCCTTAGCGCAAATCTTGTTGAAGATAGTGCACCGGTTGTGGCGGTTATCTCGCTTGGAACCGTGACCGAGTTGAACATGGCAACACCACTTCCTTCCAAGGATTGGTGGTATGATTCTGGGGCTGGAATTCATGTGGGCAATGACAAGGATCAGTTTAAGAACTACGTTGTTCTTGAAGGACATGAAGTTGTAATGGCAAATGGTGTTAGGGCTCAAGTTCAAGGCAAAGGAGAAGTGCATTTGCAATTCACCTCAGGAAAGAAACTAGTCCTAACTAATGTACTTCATGTTCCTAGTCTTGTTAAGAACCTTGTATCAGCCGACATCCTTAATAAAAAGGGATTGAAGGCAGTCATTGAATCTGACAATGTAATCTTGTCAAAGAATGGGGTGTTTGTAGGAAAGGGGTACTCTTGTAATGGCATGTTCAAGTTGAGTATCAATAAGATGAATGATGTTTCTATTTATTCGATTGAGTCTTCTTATTTTCTTTGGCATGGTAGATTAGGACATGTGAGCCATAAAGTTGTTTCTTTTATGTCTAAAAATGGCCTAATCAATTTAGTGACTTGGAAAATAAGAAATGTGAAACTTGTGTGCAAGCCAAAATAACAAAGTTACCATTTCCTAAAGTTGAAAGAAATACATCTTTGCTTGAATTGGTGCATTCGGATGTATGTGAACTTAATGGATTTCTAACTAGGGGAGTTAACAAATACTTTGTGACTTTCATAGATGATTGTTCAAGATTTGTGCAAGTTTATCTAATGAAAACAAAAGATGAAGTATTTGGTATGTTTAAAATTTACAAGTCCCTAGTTGAGAATCAATTAAGCAGGAAAATAAAAATTTTGAGAAGTGATAGAGGAGGTGAATACTTCTCGAATGAATTCTCAAAATTTTGTGAAGATAATGGTATTGTGCATCAAACTAGTGCACCTTATACACCACAACAAAATGGTTTGGCTGAAAGAAAAAATAGAACTCTATGTGACATGGTAAATGCTATCTTAGTGAGTTCTGGATTGCCAAATAATTTGTGGGGTGAAGCTTTATTGGCTGCATGTCATTTGCACAATAGAATTCCGTCCCTCAAGACTAAAATGTCACCATATGAAATATGGAAGGGAAGAAAACCAAATTTGAATTATGTGAAGGTTTGGGGTTGTGTAGCCTATTATCGTGTCCCAGATAACAAAAGAACAAAGTTGGGACCTAGAGCACTCAAAAGTGTGTTTGTGGGCTACGCTGAAAATTCTAAAGCCTATAGGCTACTAGATGTTGATTCTAATGTTATTGTACAATCAAGAGAAGTGCAATTCTTTGAGAATTTGTTTCTCAAAGATTTAAAAGTAAGTAGTGGTCCTTTTTATGTGCCTAATACTACTCAAAATGTGGCAATTCCAAGTAGTTCTTTTAGTGAGCTCAACAGGAAAGAAAATGATTCTCCTATGGAACCAAGGAGAAGTGGAAGGCAAAGGAAAGAAAAACAATTGCCTTCGGACTTTATATCTTCTCAGGCTATTGTTTTCTTAGTTGAAGGCAATAGGGATTCTGTACTTAGCAAAACTCCAATTTTGCTTAGTGTAGAAGAAGATCCAAAAACTTTTAGAGAAGCTATGAATTCAAGAGATGCCACATTTTGGAAAGAAGCAGTCAATGATGAAATGGATTCAATATTATCTAATAATACGTGGGTTCTAGTTGACTTGCCTCAAGGCTCTAAGCCAATTGGGTGTAAATGGGTATTTCGAAGGAAATATGCCACAAATGGAACTATACTTACTTATAAGGCAAGACTAGTAGCAAAAGGATTTAGGCAAAAAGAAGGAATTGACTACTTTGATACTTGTGCACCAGTGGCAAGGATTACTTCGATTAGAGTAATCCTAGCTTTGGCTTCCATTTACAATTTACCAGTTCATCAAATGGATGTTAAGACAGCATTCTTAAATGGTGATTTGGATGAAGAGTTGTACATGGAGCAACCGGAAGGCTTTGTGCTACAGTCATGAAAACAAGGTGTGTAAGTTGGTTAAGTCATTATATGGACTTAAACAAGCCCGAAACAATGGCATGAGAAATTTGAATCTGTTTTACTTTCACATGGTTTTAGGTATAATCATGCTGATAAATGCATTTATACCAAAGCATGTGATGAGTATACAGTGATCATTTGTCTATACGTTGATGATATGCTCATTGTTGGTACCACATTGAAAGGTGTGGTTGAGACTAAGAAATATCTTTCATCTAAGTTCCAAATGAAGGATCTTGGTGAAGTAGATACTATCTTAGGAATTAAGGTTAAGAAGCATAGTGAAGGTTTTGTACTCTCTCAATCACATTATGTGGACAAGATACTAACAAAGTATCAACACTTGAATGTGAAGGAAGCATCATCTCCTTATGATCGTAGTATGAAACTTTGTGTAAATAAGGGTAAACCAATTGCACAACTAGAGTATGCTAGTGTGATTGGAAGCCTTATGTATGCTATGAGTTGTACAAGGCCAGATATCTCTTATGCAGTATGTTACCTTGCAAGGTTTACTCATTGCCCTGGTATGGAACATTGGAAAGCTATCACTAGAGTCTTGGGATATCTTAAAAGAACCAAAGATTTGGGACTCTGTTATAGCCGATTTCCTAGTGTTCTTGAGGGTTATTCTGATGCCAGTTGGATATCTGGAAGTAATGAGAAGAACTCCACTAGTGGTTGGTTGTTTTTACTTGGTGGTGGTCCTGTTTCTTGGGCATCAAAGAAGCAAACACTTATAACTCATTCCACTATGGAATCTGAGTTTGTAGCTCTATCCTCAGCTTGTAAGGAGGCAGAATGGTTGAGAGGTCTTTTGTTAGATCTAGAAATTTGGCCAAAACCCATGCCGCCGATAACCTTACATTGTGATAGTGAAGCAACAATGTCTAGAGCATTGAACAAAGTGTACAATGGTAAATCTAGACATATCAGTATAAGACATGAATATGTCAGAAATGCTGAACAATGATGTTGTCTCAATTGTGTTTGTTAGAACACACAAAAACTTGGCGGATCCGTTGACTAAACCTCTTGCGAGAGAGTTAGTGGTTTCGACAACATCCGGAATGGGTTTAAAACCTTGTATCTAAAATTACTAACAATGGAAACCCAACCTTCTTCTAGTACTACCCCTAGATTGAAAGGTTTAAAGGGTAGTAACAAGTTGTTTAGTAATTGGGGCGCCAAATCAGTGTATATATCATTCCATAGTATTGGTGCATTTATGTTACTCTTAAGTGAGCAGGTTGAGAGCAATCTCTTAATGAAATTATTCATGATTATTCAATTACGGTAAAGTAATGAATTTGAATAAATTTCACCTATTTGACCATAGAAGTGGTGCCGCTTCTAGCAAGAGTTTGAGGTTATCTCTTGTACATGGTCAAGAATCTAGGATGAGCACATGGCCGGTAATAGTGCTAAATGATAATGTGGATTACAAGGAATGCTATGAGTGTTTGCGCGTGAATTATTAAGTCTATACTAGACTGATTATTGGTTTAAGCAACGAGCCACCAATAACTTAGCTAGTTAGGTGACTTAAATTCCACTACGATGTGGTTTAAGACGAAAGTCACCACCTCTTAAGCACGATTCTCATGATTGTGTAATTATTTTATATTACAAACTAAGTGGGGCAATGTTGGAAATTTTAGTTTGTAAAATAAAATAATTAATTTAAAATTGAAGGATAAAATTAGGTTGGCAACCCTTCACATGCTTGGTGGTTATTTCCTACAAGTCAAGGGTTGTGTACTTATTTTGTATCCTTTTATTTCTGCAAATGTTGCCTATAAATAGGTGAACTAGTGCAGGAATTCATTTTAACTTTTGCATTCCAAAATCCTGAAGAACATTCAATAAGTTTCAAATTGCATGTTCTTGTGTTCTTAAGTCCTAGAGGCAAATTGCCATTCAACCCTGTTTGCAATCTAGTGGGAGCAAATATTGTCTTAAGGGCAGTGTTTGACACGATTAGAGCACTTTCAATTCTTTGTGAATTTCCTTTTGTTGTTGAATTTCAGATTCCATCAATAAAGTTTATTTTCTCCATCTTTGTTCTTTGGTTCATATTGTGTTGTTTCTTTTGTTTCCATCCCCCGATTTACTTCAGAAATGACGCTGGCGACGGCGATGGAACTGGAGAGGCTGACGGCGAGGGTGATGGAGGAGGAACTGCAGTTGGCGAGGGCGATGGAGGCGGAACGGGAGGTGGCAACGGCGATGCAGTTGGGGAGGTTGATGGGGAGGGCGATGGAGGTGGAATGGGAGGTAGCGGAGGAGGCGACATGGGCTGCGGTGGTTGTATAGGAGGCGGGATGGGAGGTGGCGGAGGAGGCGACATGGGCTGAGGTGGCGGAGAAGGCGACGAGGGTGGTGGTGGTCGCGGTGGCGAGGGAGGTGGAAGTGGAGCGATTAGTGAGGGCGGAGGGGGTGGCGAGGGCGGAGATGGTGGAGGTGGCGAGGACCGTGGAGGTGGAAAGGGAGGTGATGGGGGCGGAGGGGGTGGATTGTTTGGTTTAGGCGGTGGTGGGGTACATTTAGGTTTAGGAGGTGGTGGTGGAAACTTGGGTTTCCGAGGCGGTGGTGGTAGAGATTCGGGTTTTGGAAACGTTGGTGGTGTTAAGGATTTGGGTTTCGGAGGTGGCGGTGGCGGCGCATATTTGGATTTTGGAGACGATGGTGGCGGGGATTTGGATTTCGGAGGTAGTGGTGCATATTTGGATTTTGGAGATGGTGGTGGTGTTAAGGATTTGGATTTCGGAGATGGTGATGATGGTGCATATTTAGGGTTAGGCTTATATTTATAGTCGTGCTTGGATCTTGAGTTTTGGCATTTGTCATCACATGAACTGACTTTGGTGGAAAAGATTAGTATCAAGAAAAAAAGGCTAGCAATTTGGTGCTCTTGCAACCCATTTTTTAGATCTGGATTCTCAAATAGACCTTTTTTTTCTTCTTTCTGTTTTATATTATTGGCTTTGGTTTGGGTTGGAAAGATGAATAGTTAAGTGAGGGGGTTTTTTATAGTGATGAAGAAAAAGATGTTTATTGAAGTTAATTCCAAATGTTGGGTTGATGGGTTCCCTCTCTAATTCTTCCATACTGGAATTTTGAATTGGCAACAAAAGACAATTTCCGGAAAAAAAAAAAAAAATTTATTGTTCTGTGAGGATCATTGCAACTTGCTATATCTTTGTTCTCCATTTATGGGTACCTCTTAGTAGCTATAACCTCAGCTATATTCACAAAAAATTCAGTTTCAAAAGGCTTAGTTCCCTGCTAGCTATTTGTCAATGCAAATTGTTTTATACTTCCGCCGTTTCAGAAAATTAATTTAATTCAGGAAATTAAGTGGATTTTTTCCTAGACGAATGGGTAAATGTGTTCACGTTATATAAACCTCTATTTTCGTACAATCTTTTCTTCTTTATCTTGTGTGTGTATGAAAATGCCCCTCCTAACCACGAAGTCAAGAACGAACGATCAATCCAAATCGTCGGATCGGGTCAGACGCTCAACAAAATAAGTAGTTCATTCCCTCCACGATCATTCAATTACAGTTTGCACAAACAGATCTGGTATTAAATCCAACTAAAATGCAGCAATTTGCTTGTTGATGTAATAATTAAATTTTATTTCTCAAAGTGAAGAAACCTGCAAATGTTTATCTAATCGAATTAAGGACTAATTAGTTTTGCAAGATCGGAAAACCAATAATTTGGGGCATCTCACGTTATTTGTGGTTTCTGAAAAAGATGAAAAAGAAAAGTTATTTAGTTTCTTCTTTTCCCGGCCTTTATATTAATTGAAACATTGACTATGGAGCCACTTGATACTAAGATAAATAAAATCAGTAATGTTTATCATTTAACTAATAACTAGTTCAGGTTTAAGAACTTAAAAAAAATAATATATCGAGCTAACCAACCATAGCCATGTAGTATGAAATAATTAGCTGGAACCTCATTGAGGCTCAATTCTTGAATCCCATGATCTTGGTTGGATTTGGGGTTAATGAAGAAAAGACGTCTCAAAAAACATACCAAGTCCTTTATATATATTCCCTTCATCTTAAAAAAAAATCCATATTAAATTTTGATATTTGTACTGAAAGTAGTAAAAAACTAAAAATCTGAAAATTCAAAGTGATTTTTTTTTTTATCAATATGTCCCCAAACGAAATGATATTTATACACCCACTCTGTACCATTAACTTCATGACCACATTTATCATCTTTTTTTTTTTTTTTTTTGTAAATAAAATTTGGAGCAAGGAAAAAGATGGAGATCGTAACCTGAAATTTTTTTGAGTTGAAGTCAATTTTCCGGGATTAGTCAATTCAAGAATGGCTTGGACTTAAAGATGATTTTTATGAATTAATAAATTCTTCTTTAATGGAATTAATACAATATCTTTAATAGTGATATTAAATTGAAAAATAATGTCGAAAGAAGTGAAATGATTTTTTTCTTTAAATACATCATTCATTTGCCGCACACAAATAGGGTAGGGCTCCTGATGGCGGTTAGGAATAAAACAAATGAAGTAAATTAGGGTTTAATTATATAAATTTTTAACTAATTTTAATTTAGTTAATTAGTTTATTTTTATATCTTTCTTTTCTGTTTAAGAGGTTTTGACTGTCTCAATGTAATCAGTTGTTTTTTATTAATGAAAAATAAAATTTATTCTTAAACCTAATTCGTTTGGTCCATTTGTTGGTGATCGAATTACTAGACTAGTTTTATTTTGTCCTTGAGTTGGTGATTTGAAAATAATAATGTTTTAGGTTTTCGGTATTTCGACGGATTGAAAATTCTAAACCTAGATCATTGTCGATTGAAATAGATTTCCCCTCATGGGCACAATCGTACACCTAAATTATAATCAAAGGACTAAAGAACGAGAACTGCGAAAAAGGGGAATAAATTAACAATGTTTGCTAGAAGAAAAGCTTTGAGATGACATTGTTTGGCAGTAAATAATACCTAGCACCTAGTAAGATGTTCCTAGTGGGGTGCATGTAACACACCCTTAGTTAAATACGTTTACTTTTTGTGTCGCTTTCATTACTCTAACACGCGCAAGAGAAACAGATCCACTTTCCAATTCTTTCTCTTTTTTCCCTCAAATCGGTCAACCTCTTAATAATTGATCCAAATTTGAATTTCGAAAAATAAAAAAAAACCATTGACGGTAGATTTTTTATTCTATTTTCTTCTCACTAATTGTCATATATTCATTATTATTATTATTATTATTTTTTGCTATTCCGCTCTATTTTAATTCAATAACATGAATTATCCTAAATATGATCCAGATTTTGATTTTGAAACTGATGACATGTAAAATATTTATGAAAGTTGGTAAAATTGTATATGGTTCATCATCGAGACTTATGAATTTTTAGAATTAGTTAGAGCAAAAAATTTTAACTGATTAGCAATAGAATCCGGAGAAGTGTCAAATTTAGAAGATTTTAATGGATATGTTTATCGATGAATAATGATAATATTGTAGATAATAATGTTCTTATAGTGAAAACATTATGGATGAGTAAATTTAAATTTTGAAATGAAAAATGATATTCACAAGGACGAATAACGATGCAAATGTTGATGAATAATGATCCAATCCTAGATGAATATCAATACTATATGAAGATAGATGTAGTTTTGCTAGATGAATAATTGTACTTTAACGAATGAATGATATATCTTTAGTGGATGAATAATGCATAATAGAATGAATAACTTGATCAAGAAAACTAACAAGGATATATTTACAATAAGTTAATGTCAGCAACCAAGTTAACAAACTTCTAATTATGTATTATACTATACCAAAAATTGAACAAAAAAAAAACTAGTCATTGTTTTTAACATAAGATCTTGAAGGATTCGCCGATGCTCGATACTTTTATGTTGATTGTTTGATTTCAGCAACTCTGCCAAATATTTGATTCCCGACCAATCGAGTTAATTGTGATGAGTATTTCTTTATCGATGATCAAACAAAGAGAACATTCCCCCATTATATTCGAAAACTAGATTTTAGGATGTTTAGCAATTCAATTATCGTTAATAACATAATCAAAAACTTAAAGAATACCCACATTCACATATTTTTATTATCAAAACACATAAATTTTTTAGTTCAATAACGGCCCAAATTGTTTCTTTTTATAAAGTTGGAAAAATTGTATCCCTCAAAACTCTAATTTTACTGAAATTTTCACTTATGAAAAAGGGATGTGAAATTTTTGTTATGTTGTTCCCCAATCTAATCATACCCTCTAATTGTAATTTTGTCTTATAGTGTTAAAAAAAATTATTTTTCATGCATAACATCTTAACATTTTCGTTTATTATTTCAAATTATAATTTATACACTTGTGTATCATATTATTTTTTATATATTTTTTATGAATAACTCATAAAAATGTTATAATCAATCTTGCACATCATGTGGATAATATCTAGACAAAAGAAAATAACAAAAGAAAACCATTAAAAAATTGCCTTCTTTTAGATATGTCAAAATAAAATTTGTAGGCCATTATCAAATCATCAAGTTGTTGTCACTAATGTGGAAGTTTAATCTTTGCATTTCAGTCCTCCATGTCTTCGGTGCCTTCATTTTTTCTACAATGTTGCTCAAACTTGCGTTAAATGAAAACAAGTAAAGAGTAAAGTAGCACGTAAAACACCTAGAAACTATCATAACCGTCAAGATAAATATGAAGCAAATATTGGTGTCCACGTACCAAATAACCTTAATTTTACTCAATATTAGTAAGAAAATAAAGAATAGTGCTCAAAATTTACCGCAACAAATAAAACAAAAATTGAATCCCTTACTAAACAAGCCCTATCGGAACTAGATATTTCTTTTAAAGCGATTCAAAATCAAAATAGCCAATCTTCTTTTCTTTTCTTTTTTTTTTCATATTGTAAGGTGTCTATCGTCAGCAATAATGACTAATTTCCCTCGTTCATGGTAGGTACCTTGATAGGTGAGAGAGTTGGCCAAAAGATTTAAAGTTGCTTCATGTCCATGACGAGATTTGAACCCTCAACTTATGGTTAAGAATGAAGTAGTTCTTACCACTCCACCACAACCCTTTTAGTTAAATAGACAATCCTTTACATCGTGATATTTAGTCCTAACTAATACTATAACATAAGACATATCTTTGGTCGAATATATATATATATATATAGACTAGTCAAGTCGCGTGAATTCTCTAGTCAGATTCTTAGTGCTGCCATCTTCACAAGCTCGACAATGACCGCGTTTGACTGACGATCGAATAGCTGATGAGTTCTTTGATTTGAGCTAAATGATTCTTGAAACACCAAGGCCGGTTCATTAATTTCAAGGATGTTAACGAGACACTCAGAAATGTTGTTTCAGCAATAATGTTAGAACATCAATTATACATTTTGAGATTTTATCTAAAAGCATCAATATCATATATTTTTAAATAAAATTTAATAGATTTTATTGAATCTTTTCACAATGAAAATTCTAATAAATAGCCCCTAGCATGAAAAAAATGATTGCAGTGGTTTAAATATATAAACACAAAAAAATTAGACAAAATTATGAAATAAGCAATGAGAAAGTGGCATAGAAGATCTTGTGATTTCAAAGTGTGCTGGTTTAACCTATCCTATGGAATTCGACGATTCATCTCGAACTTAAGTTGATTAATTTTTTTTTTTAAATCAGAAGATTGAATGTTCGTAAACTACAAGAAAGACTCCCATTTAGTGACTAGTTCAATTTTTGACGGCATAAAAGTTGACATTAAAAATGTCATTTAGTGGCGTAATTTATAGTAGTCGCAAGTTGTGGTCACTAATTTTGGAAACAGTAATGAAACTTATATAATGACCACGAAGCTGGCACTAATTGTAAGAGATGAGGCATTCCCGCCAACATGACCACCATGTTAACAATTTTTTTGACGACTTTTATCATTGTCACTAAGAAAATCAGAATTTTGGCACATAGTGGCAAAATACCATCATCACTACCATGTTTTTCACATAGTAACGGCAAAACGTTGTGATTAAATATTAGTTACTCGAATGGAAATATAATATTATATTCAAAAGTTATGTATGTATTTAAGATTAATTTTATTTACTTTAAAAACATTAATTTGATAAGTGATTTTCTCATAAGATTGTCATTACAAATTATTAATTACTCTTTTTTCCTCAAAAATAGGTGTCAGGTTTGTTAAACTAAAACAATATAACAGACAAAGATTTCATGGGTCGAGATGAGGAGTATCTAGTTTCAAAGTAATTAAAGGTCAATTCACATGAATGGAGTATCTATTTATGAATACGAGCAATGTAATAGTTATTTAGTTTAAGTCTAGTAAATTACATATATTATTATATATTGTCTTACACAATGAAAACGGAAAATGTTTTTCTTTTTCAAATTTGTAAAGTAAATAGTTCTGCTGGATTTAATTGAGAATATTTAAATTTGACAGGATTTAAATAAAACAAAAAATTTATAATGTATAATTGATAAAAGGTAAATGATTTATTATATAATTTAGTATTTATTATAGGGTTCAATTGAAAATAATAATATTCTTTAAAGGATGCTAATGAAAACATTGACATTTAAAATTTGAGGAGTGCCAAGTGCGTAATATCAAGGGTGTAATTATAATATATTAAACCTTTTTGTATTTTTTTTTTGTCGAATGTACTAATAGATTTAAAACTCTGTAAAAAAAAAGGTAAGAAATAAAATTCAATTAAATTCTCACGCTTTTGCTTTTTGGCTAAATTGTCTACCATTCTCTTATTTTCTCTGCGGAAAACTTCTCCCTCCCCCCTTTTCTTCTTTCTCTTCTCACGCGGCTATCCCCAATTCTCCACCCTCCTCAAATTTTCTTTCCTGAAAAGTTCTTCATCCCCATCACCGACCTCGCCGATGACGATCTTGTCTCCCTTGTCAATCTTTCTGTCTCAATCACTTAGGCCCCATTTTCTTTAATCTCTCTCTCTTGTTTTTCAGGGTTTGAGATGCTTCTACTGGGCATTGTCTGAAGATCAGATTGATTACATTACTCATTGATTCTTATGATTATTCCGATACATTTTTTGAAGGTATTTCTTGGTTCCCTGGATCAACTTAACATGTTGGATATATTACAGTGACAACTTTCTTTCGTCATAAAGGTTGTCTAACTTAAACCGTAACCGGTTTGTTCGGTTTGGTTCAAATGGTTTACTAGAAATCGTTATTGACAACAAAAGCTGGTCATTGAAAAAAATTAGTCACAAAATGGATTTCTAGTGACGAGATCAAGGTTTTAATGACTAAGTGAAATGACAATTTTTTGTCAAAAATCTTGTGACAAGCAATCTATGGTTACTAAATAAATAGCTTTTGTGGCGAGAAATGATTTTTTCGTAATTTTAATGATTTAGGGACCATTTAGTAGTGTCCTACATGTGACGACTAGATTGTAGTCAATATGCTGATTTAGTGACGACTTTAGGTGTTTTATTGACCATATGCTTTGGTAATTAAATGGGTACTTTTCTTGTAGTTTGAGGATACAGAGTAAATTAAGAAGCATGAAAAACCAATCAGAATTAATAATAACAAAAATTTGAGAACACAACAAATGAAAAGCACGATTTGTATATAAAATTTGATACCTTTTCGTGCAACAAAGTGTGCTTATTTTGTCGAGTACTACACACATTAATATTTAACAGAATTTTGAAGAAAAAAACAATATAAAATGCTACGCGCCACAGTCGAGCAAATTACTTGGATGCCTTATATTACAGAAAATATAGATATAACGAACATCAAATTCAGCCGGCAACTGAACAATACCAAAATCATTGGCCTTGAAGGCGTCGCACATGCAATAAAGAAACTGAAGGTCATCAAGGTCATTTATAAGCGGGCAGCATGAGGAAATAGTATCCACGCCGTTGTAGATCGTAAAACCAAAATATAAAGGACCACATGCTTGAAATTCTAGGGCATCCCTTGGACAAATTCTTCCGGTACTAGGCGGTGGCTGTGAAGAGGGCGCGGGCGGAGCTGGCGAGGGCGCAGGAGATGGAAATGACGGTGGCTCTGGAGCTAGCAATGGCGACGAAGCGGGAGAGGTTGATGGCGAGGGCGAAGGAGTTTGCGATGGAGCTGGCGAGGGCGAAGGAGTTTGCGATGGAGCTGGCGAGGTTGATGGAAAGGGCGAAAGAGGTGGCGGTGGAGGCGACATGAGTTGAGGAGGTGGAGAGGGTGGTATCGATAGAGGGGGCGAGGGCGGTGGAGGTGGCGAGGGTGGTGGAGGTTGAGTGGGAGGTGGTGGTGGCGGTGGCGGTGGAGGCGACATGAACTGAGGAGGTGGAGAGGGTGGTGTCGATAGAGGTGGCGAGGGCGGTGGAAGTTGAGTGGGAGGTGGTGGTGGCGGTGGCGAGGGCAAAGGAGGTGGAATGTGAGGTGTTGAGGGAGGAGGGGGTGAAATTTTCGGTTTAGGTGGTGGGGGGCATTTAGGTTTAGGATGTGGTGGTGGAGACTTGGGTTTTCGAGGCGGTGGTGGTGGAGAATTGGGATTTGGAGACGGTGGTGGTGTTAAGGATTTGGATTTCGGAGGTGGTGGTGATGGTGCATATTTGAGTTTGGGAGATGGTGGTGGTCCTGGTGGAGGGGATTTGGATTTCGGAGGTGGTGGTGATGGTGAATATTTGGGTTTGGGAGATGGTGGTGGTCCTGGTGGACGGGATTTGGATTTCGGAGGTGGCGGTGATGGTGCATATTTGGGGTTAGGCTTATATTTATACTCATGCTTGGATTTTGAGTTTTGGCATTTGTCATCACATGAACTAACTTTGGTGGAAAAGATTAGTATCAAGAAAAGGGAAAAGGCTTGCAATTGGGTGCTCTTGCAACCCATTTTAGCTCTGGATTCTCAAATAGACCTTTTTTTTCCCTTCCTTCTTCTTTCTGTTTTATATTTTTGGTTTTGGTTTGGGTTGGAATAAAGATGAATAATAAAGTGAGGGGGTTTTATAGTGATGAAGAAAAGATTTTTATTGAAGTTTTAATACTAAATGTTGGGTTGATGGGTGCCCTATCTAATTTTTCCATACTGGAATTTTGAATTGGCAACAAAAGAAGGGTACATGTTTTAATGTTGGAAGACTACATTTCCGAAAAAAATTATTGGTCTGTGAGGTTCATTGCAACTTGCTACCATTTATGGGTACCCTCTTAGTAGCTATAACCTCAGCTATTTTCTCTAAATAAATAAATAATAAAAAAATAAAATAAAAATCAGTTTCAAATGGCTTAGTTCCCTGCTAGCTATTTGCCGCTACAAATTGTTTTAAATTATACTTCGCCGTTTCAGGAAATTAATTTAATTCAACAAATTAAGTGGATATTTCCAAAGACGAATGGGTAAATGTTTTCACGTTATATAAAACTCTTTTTTCGTGCAATCTCTTCTTCCTTTTCTTGTGTGTGTGTGTGTGTGTGTGTGAGAGAGAGAGAGAGGGAGAGAGAACTGTGAAAATGCCCCTCCTAACCACGAAGTCAAGAACGAACGATCAATCCAAATCATCAGATTGGGTCAGACGCGCAACAAAGTTATTAGTTCATTCCCTCCACGATCATTCAATTACAGTTTGTACAAATAGACTTGGCATTAAATCCAACCAAATTGCAGCAATTTTCTTGTTAATGTAATAATAACTAAATTTAATTTCTCTATCGTCCCTTTTCTTTTTTTCTTTTTTTTTTGGAAAGCTTAATTTGATGCATATTTTTGTGAGGTTTCCCTCTTGTTGGATGGTGTTGATATCGACAAAGTCAAGAAACCTGCAAACGTTATTTTAAGCGAATTAAGGACTAATTAGTTTTGCAAGAAAACCAATAATTGGGGGCATCTCAAGTTATTTGTCGTTTCTAAGAAAGATGAAAAAGAAAAGTTATTTGGTTCCTTCTTTTCCCGGCCTTAATGTTATTGAAAGATTGACTATGGAGCCACTTGAATCAGTAATATTTATTAAATCAGTAATGTTTATCATTTAGCTAATAATTAGTTCAGATCCTTTTTCCAAAATAATAATAATAATAATGAAACTAGTTCGGATTTAAGAACTTGAAAAAAATAAAACGATCTAACCAATATAGCTCATGTAGTACTCTCTCATTTCAAAATATAAGTAACTTTAGACTTTGCACATAAACTAAGGAGACAATCATTCAACAATTAATTTGTGTATTAAATACTGATATGTTTTATCCCTCATTAATTATATTAGAACTATAAACAAGACTAAATAAAAAGGAGTTGACATTATTTATTGAGGATAAAATTGAAAAAATAGTCATTAATTTACCTTGAAATCCTAAAATGATTTATATTTTGAAAAAGATTCTCCAAATTTAAAACGACTTATATTTTGAAAGGGAGGAAATATGAAATAATTAATTATTGAGAAATTCTTGAATCCCATCTTGGTTGGATGGGACTTATGAATAAAAGACGTCCAAAAAAAAAATTCAAATCTTTTTTACATACTCTGTTTCATAAAAATAGCTTACATTGAATTTTGAAATTTGTACTAAAAGTACTAAAAAAAAAACCAAAAACTCAAAATGGACTTTTTTTTTAGAACAGAATATATTACTATGTCCCTCTTAATTGAACATTCTAATGAAAGACATATGAACTATGTTGTTATTACATGATTGTTGAATTTGTAGTACAACATTATAAGTAGTCCATGACCACACAGCGTTCTATGTAGTCAATTACATTAACTTTTGGGGAAAAAAAATTGTCATTTTCAAGAAACATTTCAGCAGCGATTCTTCCACGACGACTCAGCTATGGCTTTTTCATATACGAGTAGCTTTTAAGCTCAAGTGCTTGTAATTATATGTAGACCATTTTTTACCGTCCTCGTCTACTACATTAATTGTGATCCTCTTATCATGCCCTAAAAAATCAATAATGACATCGTCGCCTTCTCTCCACGGTTTAAGATCTCTTATTAGGTTGTGCATAGCACAACTATTAAGGACAAATCTAGTGTGATTCATAATCAAATTGAAGATTTTGATCTAGTAAAAAAATTAATGTAATCGACTATTCAATACGGTTCTTTTCAAAACCTTAATACTTTACAGAAGAGGATCAAACAACTCTTATAAACTGAAAGTTTCTTCCATGTCTACCCAACTCCACTTTCTCAAATATTAAAGGAAATGGTGGAGGATGAAAAACACGACAACAGTTCCCTCTCTGTTGGAAATCGGGGAGAGGAGGTACACAACCCTGGGATTCGCGATCATGACCAGAAGGCATCAAACTCTGTCATTGTTTTTTACGGCTCTTTTTACCAGGGCCGGCTCAACCCTTGAAGGGGTCTAAAGCGAACCACCAATTAGGGGCCCTTTAATTAATTTTTTTTTAAATAGGAGAGTTAAAAATTTTAATTTTCTATACCAACTGACGAGTCATAAATTAACCCTAGGCCTATTGGGCCTAGGATTAGATTACTTAGAGATTAAATCACCGACTAAACCTAATTCGACTAGGTTTAGGGAAACATGTAACAACACCTCTATATAAAGAGGTGGTGCCTCCCTTATAATTGACTTAAGTATCTTCTATATCTTCTACCTATCTTCTACACCTTTTACACACGATACACATCATTCTCTCTCTATTATCTTTATTCTCTTATTGACTTAAGTATCGGAGCGTCTACCCTCGGGAGACACCTGAGGCTCTGTCTTGCAGGTTTTAGCCCGTCCGCCGCCGCCTAGGTCATCATCGCCGCCCGTCCTAAGCACCATACAAATCCATGCTTCGTCAAGTGGCACGCACGCTGGGACCGATTTTTTTAGTCTTCACAACCAAATAAATTTCTTAGCGAAACACGGAATTTTTGGTGTCTTTGAAGAGCCATGATGCTAATTCGTTGCTCCGATTTGCAACTAGAAGATCAAGCCAAAAATTATCTTTGTGTGGCCAAGAAGACGTCAGGCAGCAAGTAGCATAAGAAGCTTTCGACTGCACAAATAGTTCAAGGAGATGCACTTGCTCCACACTGATCGAGAAGGAATTCTGCAATTTCAAAAAATTGCAGAGTGGTCCTCAAGTTTCTAAATTTGAAAATTTTGACCCTAAAAGTTTTCAATTTTATAGAACAATCCCTGGAGTTCAAAATTTATGGAAAGGGCAGAATATTCAGCCGAGAACAATTCCTAAATTCAAGAATTTCCACTTAGTCCCTAATAATTTTGATTGTTATAATCCCTAATACTTTTCTAATTTTACAGATAAGCTCTCAAGTTCTTCGAAGCAAAGGGTAATTTCGAGGATTGAAGTTTCGAGAGATACATCTCCTCTAAGGGGCAAGCATACCTCGAGCACAATAATACTCCTCGAAGTGTTCGAGAAGATGTATCTCGACTTTTATCTACTCAACAACTACCTTCTCGGAATCGATCTAACACTTTCTCGAATAATTAATTTATCTTGAGATCGAGGTACATCTCAAACCTTTTCTAAATACGTTTCTCAAATCTATATTCATATATTGCTAATACCATTATTCTCCTTTTGAGTGAAATTGCATATCGACGAAAGACCTGCACGACAAGCAATAAAGGCTTCTCCCCTTCAAATAAGAGAAAAAAGGCTTCTCCCCTTCAAATATGAGAAAATAGGTTTCTCCCCTTCAAATAAGAGAGTAAATGCTTCTCCCCTTCAAATAAGAGAAAATAGGCTTCTCCCTTCAAATAAGAGAAAAAAGGCTTCTCCCTTTCAAATAAGAGAAAATAGGCTTCTCCCCTTCAAATAAGAGAATCTAGGCGCCATCCTCCTAATTCGGCATAAACAGGCTTCCCCCTTCTAATAAGGAACTCGCTAACACAAAGACCTCCTCTAGGCATTTTATTATCTTTATCTTATATAAGTGATACCCAAGAACGAAAGAGTTCGAGAACTGGGGCAACACCATGAAACTCGAGGAGACATCAACACTTGTAGCAACCCATAGCCTTCTCATCAAGTCTCGAGAATATGCTTGCTAGGGGCACTTGACGAGTCATAAATTAACCCTAGGCCTATTGGGCCTAGGATTAGATTACTCGGAGATTAAGTCACCGACTAAACCTAATTCGACTAGGTTTAGGAAAATAGGTAACAACACCTCTATATAAAGAGGTGGTGCCTCCCTCATAATTGATATCTTCTACCTATCTTCTACACCTTTTACACACGATACACATCTTTCTCTCTCTATTATCTTTATTCTCTTATTGACTTAAGCATCGGAGCGTCTACCCTCGGGAGACACCCAAGGCTCTATCTTGCAGGTTTTAGCCCGTCCGCCGCCGCCTAGGTCATCATTGCCGCCCGTCCTAAGCACCGTACAAATCCATGCTTCTTCACCAACCAAACACAAATCTTCCTTTTTTTTTTATTCAAACTAGGAACAGGATAAACCTAAAAATTTATTGTAGGCTGAATTTAATTTTTTTTTCCTCTTCTCAAAATTAAATTGCAAATAAATTTCATTTGAAAAAATATGTTTTCATTTGAGATAGTAAGAATTGAAGACTTGAATCCATGAAAGTTTGAAGGGAAGGGGCGAATGGAATGCACTTGTGATTTTATTAACTTTTGTTCTGTAGCGAATGGAACATACATGGAATATGTGATAAATCATTTACAAGTTAAAATTTCACAAAACTAAGTAATAGCCCAAAGTTTGGAGGGTTAAATGACAGAAAAAATCTTAGACTGGACTCTAAAGATTAAAGACTTAATTTTACTTTTTTTTTGTAAACAATAATAAGTAATAACTTTACATTTGGGCCCTCAACATTATTGGCCTAAAGCCCTAGCTTTACTTGCCTTATTAAAGAGCTGGCCTTGCTTTTCACCCAACTACTAAAGCGGCAGCGGAAGCCTAGAAAATAGTTTCGCCGCATGGTATGATAATACAATTAAGGTCCGTGGATTTTCATGCTCTTTTGCCATTCCAAATTGAAGCCATGACTTGCCTAGCAGTGTTGCTACAGGCTTCAAATCTCGGTATCATCCGAGTTAAGATTCAAACAGATTGTGAGCTTTTAACTGTCAGGAAGGCACAAATTCCGGCAAACGCACAAGTATTCATCTATTAGTTTCTTTAATAGCCTCGTTTGAACTCTGTGAACTGATTAAAGTAAGTAAAGATAATATTCAAAATATGCATAATTAGTGCATAACAGGATGCGATGTAATAGTTTAAGTAATTCATCTTAATAAAACAGGTACCATTCTCAAAAAAATTCCAATTACCACAAAAAAAAAAGAAAAGAAAAAGAGTTCTATTTCTTTCTTTTCCTATATATTGTCGTGTTTTATCCTCTACCATTTTACTTTTCTCACAATTTATCCTTCTATTTCAATATAAATATATAATCCTTGCTCACCGACGGATCGACAATGGGGCCATGGGGCCAAGGCCCCCACAGGCCCCACTTTAAGCCTTATACTATCTATTTTTTTCAATTAGTTTAATCTAATAAATAATAGATAATTGATGTTTTCTTTTCTTTTTTGCTTAATTTACATTCTCTTGATTGTATTTTGGATTGATTAAATATGGTTAACTTCAAAAGTAATTGTATTTACAGGTACTATATTATTAAAAAAATAAATAAAGTTACAAGTTATTGTGAATTATAAGTATATTTATGACGCATAAATTCATGCAATAAAATACTTAGATACATTTAAATTTTTTAATTTTAACAAATTTTTCTTATTTGATAATTTACATACTCGTCATGTGTTCGAAAAGATTAATTTATTTTTTTCGTTTTTTGTGTACATGTATATGGTATAAGTGTTATGTTAAACAATTTTAATAAATACAAGATATGATTTTGCCTATAAAAGGAGAGAGAGACTCATGTTTACATGGCCAAGCTCGCTGAGCAAGCCGAGCGTTATGAAGAAATGGTTGAGAGCATGAAGCAAGTTGCAAAACTTGATGTTGAGCTGACTATGGAAGAGAGGAAGCTTCTATCTGTTGGGTACAAGAATGTTATTGGTGCCCCCAGAGCTTCATGGCAGATCATGTCCTCTATTGAACAGAAGGAGGAGTCTAAGGGATATGAGCACAATGTTAAACTCATCAAAGACTATCGCCAGAAGGTTGAGGATGAACTCACTAAGATTTGCGGCGACATCCTCACAATCATTGACGAGCATCTGATACCATTCTCTGTGTCATAATTATCATGTATTGGAGCATATTATCTTGTATTTAGATTATGTTGTAGAGTTATCAAGTATATCTCTTGTATTTATCAAATGTTGTAATCTCCCTATATATGGGGTGTTGTATCAATGAGAAGGAATCAATTCAGTCTGATCAATTACAGGCTTCAACTTGGTATCAGCTTCTCTTTTCTCTCTCGATCTGGTGCCACTCTCCTTCTTCTTCTCACCATGTCTTCTGTTGCTTCCTCTTATACCTCTGTCTCCTCTCTCTTCTCTTTGTCTCCGGGTGCTAGCTCTTCGGTTTCCGTCCCCTCACTGCTCTCTTTCTCGACTAATGTCTCTTCTTTTCATCAGTCGTTTGCAATCAAGCTGTCCTCCCGCAAAAATTTCGCCAGTTGGAAGTTACAGTTCTCCCCTCTCCTCAAAATGCTCAATCTTGAGTCTATCATCGATGGTACAGAACCCTCTCCGGCCGCGATTGTTTTTGATCCCGCCACCCAATTGCCTCAGCCGAATCCAGCTTTTATTCACTGGCAACAGAAGGATCAGCTTCTCTTTTCATGGATTCTTTCTTCCATCGCTGAGTCCATCTATCTATGTCTTCAGGGCATTAAGACTCCGCGTAAGCCTGGGCTGCTTTGGAACAAAGCTACGGGTTGCTTTCTCATGCCCATCAAACCCAACTTGTATTGGAGCTTCATAATATCACAAAAGATGGCATGTCCGTCTCTACTTTTCTTCATAAGGCTAAGGCTTTTGCCCATTCGTTAGCCATGGTTGGTCATCCAATTTTCCCGGCAGAATTCAATGCGATTATTTATCGCAAATTGGGGGCTGATTACAATGGTATTATTGGTGCTTTACAGCAACGTTCGGAACCAGTAGCGTTTCCTGAATTGCACTCTCAATTGATTGCTTATGAACTCTTGTTGAAGGCGCAACGGCCGGTTGCTCCGACTGCTCTTGTGGCGCAATCCACTCCTTCTCCTCATGGCGGTCGTGGCTCTCAACGTGGTGGCTATCGCGGTGGTTGTACTAATAAAGGGGGTCGCCGCGCTTTGTCAATAATGCTGGAAATCAATCTGGTGGTGCATATCAATTCTGTGGCTACTCTAATCACACAGCTGCTACATGCCGGCGTCGGTTTGATCATACTTTTATTCCTCGGAATCAGCAACCTAGTGGTGCTTATGATGGTCCTCTTCCCACCCCTCCACAAGCCAACCTTGCTGCTGCCTTCCCACCTGCCAACAATTTTCCTTGGTACCCCGATTGGGGAGCAACTCATCATGCTACCCCCGATCTCTCATCACTGAGCATCGCAAATGAGTACACTAGCAACGATGAACTTGTTGTTGGTAATGGTAATTTTCTCCCTATCACTCATATTGGTCATTCCCTTCTTCCTACTTCACAAAAAAATCTTCGCTTGAATAATATTTTGTATGTTCCCTCTCTTACTAAACCCCTGTTATCCGTTCAAAAATTATGTCGTGATAACATTGTTCTGTTGAATTTCACCCGTTTTCCTGTCTTGTCAAGGATCGAACATCTCAGACGCCACTCCTGCGTGGAGGAACTGAGTTTGGGCTTTATAAATTTGGCGGTCGATCCTCTCCTCAGCCTTTGTCTCCTGCTATTTTCCTAGCAAGTGTCGAGAGGTGGCATGCTCGTTTAGGTCATCCCAGCTATAATACTGTTAGACATCTAGTTAATAAATTTCAGTTGCCATGTGGCTCGCATAAGCTTTCTACTGAAAAATGTCATGCCTGTTGTCTTGGCAAAATGCATCGTGGTAGTCTAGGGTTAACTTTTTATCGTAGTTCTCAACCTTTGGATTTAATTCATACGGATGTTTGGGGTCCGGCTCCTTTACTTTCATCAAATGGTGCTCGATATTTTGTTCTCTTTATTGATGATTTTTCGTTATTTACCTGGATTTTTCCAATTAAACAAAAAAAAGTGATATTATTTCTATTTTTCAGCAATTCAAAAGGTTGGTCGAATATCAATTTCAAACCACCATAAAATCTGTTCTTTCTGATTGGGGGATGAATTTCGTTCCCTTAGTACCTTTTTAGAAAATCAAGGCATTACTCATCGCCTTGCTTCCCCTCATACGCATGAACAAAATGGTACTGCTAAAAGAAAAATCCACCAAATTGTTGATATTGGCCTAGCTTTATTAGGTCATTCCAATTCTCCATTTAAATATTGGGAGTTTGCTTTTGAGACCGCTGCTTTTTTTATCAATCGAATCCCATCCTCTTCTCTTAAAAATCAAATCCCATACACCCTTTTATTTCACAATCCACCAGACTTTCTGTTTTTACGGGTTGTCGGGTGTGCCGTATACCCCAATTTACGCCCATATAACAAGCACAAATTTTCTTTTCGGTCCCAACAATGTGTCTTTTAGGTTATTCCCCCATCCACCTTGGCTATCGTTGTCTTCACAGTCCCACTAATCGCATCTATATTGCACGTCACGTCCAATTCGACGAGACGATTTTCCCTTTCTCTCGGCCTACAGTTCCTCCCGTTAACTCCTCTCCGCCACCACCATTGTCCTCACCTTCTCCAGTCCAAGTGTCCTTTCACTCTTCGCCACCATCTACTCCCTTCCCCGGTTTGGTGTCGGCCCCTTCTCCGCCTCCGATCCCTCCCCAATTAACTCCATCATCTGTTTCCTCTCAATCGCGAGTTCCTCATGACAGTCACTTATCATCGAATACTAACCCTAACCCGGCCTCTCCTTCCTCTTCACCAATTTCTGTTGGTTCCGCCGCCTCTGAGTCACCTTCCTCTTCTCCTTCCAATTCTGACTCTTTGCCAGTCATGTCTCCTTCCCGTCAGGGTCTCCATCTCGTGGTTGATCTTGACAGCTCCCCGTCTCCTCCCCCACTTCCACCGCCACCCGGTCGCACTCATACCATGCAATTGCGACCTTCCACTCTCACCAAAACAAAATTTACAAATGTTGTTTCACTCTCATCCTCTCTTCCTGTTGCTCCTCTTTCTTTTTTGCAGGAAAAGTCTCAGCCCCAATGGCAGCAAGCAATGCAACACGAGTTTGATGCCCTCGTGAAAAATGGGACTTGGACCTTGGTTCCGCCACCTCCAGCTGCCAATGTCGTTGGCAATAGGTGGCTCTACAAAGTTAAAACCCTTCCAGATGGCCGTTTGGACCGTTCTAAGGCGCGATTGGTTGCTAAGGGCTTCACTCAAACCTTTGGTATTGACTATACCGACACCTTCAACCTGGATATCAAGCCTATCACTATTCGTACCGTTCTTTCGGTGGCCGTCAGTCATTCTTGGGAAATTAAGCAACTTGATGTTAGCAATGCTTTCCTCAATGGCACGTTGAAAGAGGTCATCTATATGGTTCAATCTCAAGGTTTTATTGATCCACTTCGTCCAACTCATGTTTGTAAGCTCCATAAATCGTTAAACGGACTTAAGCAAGCCCCGAGGGCGTGGTTCTCTCGACTTAATGACTTTCTTTTGTCTCTTCATTTTCGAACATCAAGGTGCGATCCTTCTCTGTTTATTTAATCCTCTCGCAGCTGTGTATGCTTTATTTTGGTGTATGTGGATGATGTTATCATCACAGGGAATACACCTTCCTTTCTTCGCCGGGTGATCACTTGCATTGGCCAAGAATTTTCCATTTGGGATCTTGGCAATCTGTATTTTTTTCTCGGCATCGAGGTTCATCGCCGCCCGCAAGGACTGGTACTATCACAGCGCAAGTATCTATTGGAGTTGTTTCAATCGGCTCACATGTCAAACTGTAAACCATGTTCTACCCCCATGGTCTCTGGGAGCACTCTTTCTCGCCATGATGGGTCTCCTTTATCTTCGGATGATGCAGCAATTTACCGCAGGTTGTGTGGCTGCCTACAATATGCAACTGTAATGCACCTTGATATTTGTTTTGCAGTTAACAAATTGTGTCAATTTAGGCATCATCCGACCTCAGTTCATCTTCAAGCTTTCAAGCGAGTCATTCGTTATCTTTGGGGTACTGTGGCTCGTGGTTTATGGCTGCGTTCTTCTCCATTGCAAGTTGTTTCGGCTTTTACGGATGCCGATTAGGCTGGATGCCCGGATGACCGCCGGTCTACTACCGGTTTCCTTATCTATCTTGGTCCCAATTTGATCGCTTGGACTTCTCATAAACAGCATACCGTTGCTCGATCATCCACCGAACCAGAGTTTCGCTCCATTGCCAATGTGTGTGTTGAACTCCATTGGTTATGCCATCTTCTTGCTGAACTTGGAGTGCCCTTACGTGCTCCCCCTACGATCTAGTGTGACAATAATGGGGCCGTTTTTTTGGCTGCCAATCCAGCTTTCCGGGCACGTACTAGACATGTTGAAGTTGACTTTCATTTCATACGTCAACATGTTAATCAAGGTTTTGTGGCGGTTCGAAACATTTCAGCTGCGGATCAGCTGGCCAATGTCCTTACCAAGCCGTTGGCAAAGCTCCCATTTCAGCACTTTCTTGACAAACTTCGGCTTTTACACATCCCGCCTTCAGCTTGAGGGAGCGTGTCATAGTTATCATGCATTGGAGCATATTATCTTGTATTTAGATTATGTTGTAGAGTTATCAAGTATATCTCTTATACTTATCATATGTTGTAATCTCCCTATATATGGGGTGTTGTATCAATGAGAAGGAATCAATTCAGTCTGATCAATTACAGACTTCAACTCTCTGGCTCCGGAGAAGTCACTGTTTTTTACTATAAGATGAAAGGTGATTATTTCCGAAACCTGGCTGAGTTTAAGACTGACCAAGAGAGAAAAGAAGCCGCTGAGCAGTCACTGAAGGGCTATGACGCTGCTTCTGCAACTGCCAACACGGATCTCCCGTCAACCCACCCGATTCGTCTTGGGCTTGCTTTGAACTTCTCTGTGTTGTACTATGAGATTATGAATTCTCCTGAAAGGGCTTGTCACTTGGCTAAGCAAGCTTTTGACGAGGCTATTTCAAAGCTGGACACATTGAGTGAGGAGTCGTACAAAAACAGCACCTTGATTATGCAGCTGTTGAGGACAATCTCACTCTCTGGACCTCTGATTTGCCAGAAGATGGCGGCGGTGAGGATAATCCAAAAAGTGAAGAATCCAAGCCAGCAGAGGCTGCTGAGCATTGAGGCATTCAGTCATGTCATGCTGAGGCTAAAGAGCTAAAGAGCTACGCATTCAGTCAGTCATTAGATTCGCAAGCACTCGCAAAAGGTCTTTCAAGTCAGCTCTCAATCAGGCTTAGCAATTTTGTCAATCTATTCGGATCCATCACCATGACAAGAAGACTCTTTTTAAAGTTTACATCCCAAAATGCGCTTTGCTTTTTTGTTAAATTAAGTTGCAGCTCACACCCCTATCTTCTTCGTGTAACCTTTTAATCTTTTCGTAGAACATATTACTCAAGTGACAGAATATGTACATACATATATTGTCTATGTACATACATATATTGTCTATCATGTTCTTTCTTTAATCGCAATCTTTGTTATCCTTGAAAAAAAAAATATGATTTTGCCTATTGATGTAATAGAAGTAGAAAGAGGTTTTAGCTACAAACACAGTATCATGTACTAGTGTATCAAATACTTAACTCTTGCAAGATGTCTTGTTTAATTTTTATGTTAAAAATTATATTATAGGACACACTTATAATATGATAAAATTAGTACCAAAATTTCATCAAAATAAGAATATATATTCGTTGTGATCAATACTAATATACTGACGTTAAGAAATTCTTTTCGCTAATGTATTCATGGCCCCCTATAAGAATTTGTTCTAAATCCGCTACTGTCCTTGCTCTGGTAAAAAAAAAGAAAAATTACGTCTAGTGAATTGTTTTTATGTGAAACAAAACTAGTGTAAACTTTACTTGCATTTCTCCAAAAGCTTATCCCATTTTATATCCTTCCCCTTTTCTTCATGGATGAAGGTATCGTTTTCAAAAAAAAAAATTTCATTTTCACCAATGCATAACTTTTGTTGGTATGAGTGTTGATTGACTTGACCTTTCTCATTCATCATAATTGTCGAAGAAAAATTTTGAAACAAACAACAATAATTAAATAATTATTTTTTCATTGTAATTGACTGTCTTCTTTTTCTTTTTCTTTTTTTTTTTTTGTGTGTGGTTGATCATCTCTTAAGCAAAGTATTGTTAAGGAATCGAGCAATGGTCTAACCGTTAAAGTGGTTGGCTTTTTGAGAAACAACTCATGTTCGATTTCCATCGGAATAATAGGAGAAGGGATTCAGAAGGATTAAATGGATAGGTTAGAAGTAGATCGTCAAAAACAAACAAACAAAATGGGGGGAAAAAAAAAGTATTTCTAATTCCATTCATGTGTAAGTAAATTCTAAGCCAACACAAATAACATTTTATATATTTTTGAAGCAAAGACAAGTCCCATTTGATCGTTAAAACTAACTTATACTTTGCCCGTTCCAGAAAATTAATCTATTTTATTGTAGATATTCTCCCGTTAATAGGAAAATGATGAACTGCCATACATACTATTTGTACTTCCATGAAATATTCTGGGAGCAAAACTATTCGATCATGCATTTCAATACAAATTGAACTGATTGCGAAAAATAGCATCTTGATTTCCTTAGTGAAAATGTACAAATGCCTTTTAAGGATTTCCAAGTTCCATAGAATTCTATGTACTATTTGACCTACAGAAATCAGGACATAGTAATCTATTTGACTGCTTCATTGGTTCAGTCAAAAACTAGGCGGGCTACTGTACTCATTAAGGAAGCTCGTGGTTAGATGTATACGCCTCAAAAAAACCTAATGCTACCAACTATCAATTGAGTGTTCGGATACCTCAACTTAGCTTCATTTGGTTATGTTCTGGATGCTGTCCAAGGATATGCTCTTTCATCTCTTCTTCTCAAACTCAACTTGCTTGCGGTTTTCCTCGTGTGCTTTCATAAACATCCTCACAAAATTAAGCAGAGTTGAAACAACTGTAGGATGACAAATTAAGTCCATAAATAGATGGAATCTCTTCACCCCAAGGAGGCAAATGATGGAAAAATGAATTCAATTCCGATCAAATGAAAAAATGAATTCAATTCCGAATCAAGTATATGAAAAAATATAGGCAATGACTTCTTAGGGAAGTACATTCAAAGATAAAAAGGATTTCTGTACTAACTACGCCTGAAACCTGATCCATCCCATTGGTGTCATAAACCTCAAAACCTAAGATGTGTAACCATCTCTTATGATTAAAACCATGAACATGTGCTTTCTCTAGTAGCTATATTGCACACATTTTCTTAGGCCAAATAGAAGCCAGATGTATCATCTAGTTGCAGTTGCTACTATAAAAGTTTTATCTTTGGATTGTAAGCAAGAGTCACTGCAACATGTAACATGCAATGAAGACAATCTCAAGTATTGCTTTTATGTTGTTTGAACATATATAATGACGAAATATGCACATAGCCAGGATAAAGATTTATATTTTATCAAACGACTGCATTATAATCTTATGGTTGAGGCTTTCCTTGAGTTCAGCGCAGTTGAATGGTTTAAAGTGTAAGATGAAAATGAGTACCTTGCTCAAAAGGACAACGAACAGGATCTTCTCCAAAATAATGAGCCAATGCATCTGCATTTTTTCCCTATGAGCAGGGATGGTTGATTAGTAATATGCACCATAGGCCAATCAAAGAAGGAAAACAAACCAAACTGAGCCCCTACCACCACAGAATAGAGCGAGGCCAGTGATCTCACTTCAGCCTCGGCAGAATGGAGAAATTCCTTTAGTGTCTGAAGAAATATAAAAGATTCCATTAGCATAGCCTTTTCAGAAAGACAAAAGAAGTGATTGGAGAAACGGGAAATTGATGCAACAAAGTGATGGAGTGTTATATATGAAAATCTGCGAACTGAGAAGGCCGATATCACCAAAAACCCCAGCAAACAATAAACTCATAATTGCTTAAGCACTGAATTTCTGTGCTTCATTGAAATTCTATACTTAAAAACAAAACAGAAAAAAATTGTTTTCTGAATACATATTCAAGAATGAATTGAAGTGGAAAGAAACAAAGACGACATGATGAAACTACAGCATTTAGTGACTAAAGAGTCTATTATGACCACCAACCAACTAGGCATGATATCGCATTTTGGAAGTAGTGACTCTATAAATGACATCATATGAGAAAGCTCAAGGGCTTCTATGCAATGACGTAACATCAGATAATCTAGCTCTTCAGGCAACAGAACAATGCAAAACACTGGACAGACAAAATAAACATCAGAATGCCGTAAGGCACCTTAGAGAAACTTTCAGACACGGGACCATCTTTTTCTGATGCTGCCAGTTCTTGTGTGACTTTATCCAGCCCTTTGCTGATGGATTGCATTTCCTCAGCCAAATATTTTAATTGTATCTGCACCAGATTAATCTTAACTACAATGCAAACATAAGTTAATTTAGGAAAGGCTTTCTGACAACTAATGCAGACCTTGGTTGATCCCTCTAGGCTCCCTAGGTCCTTTGGAAAATCCAGAAGTTCTGGGAGCTTTTCAGCAAGAACCTGCAGTCAAAACATATGACTGCATCATTTAAATCAACTTCAGTTTCTTAAGTGGCTTTCATAGTATATGATCATATGCAATTCACGATGTTCCTGTTGCCTTGAGTTGGTGGAATCAGTAACTTACAAGTAAATAAGACCGTAAAGAAAGTAACAATCCTAGACTTCAACAGATACATATGCTACATAAGGAGAGTTAAGATGGAAGTTGAGGGAACCCATTATTAGGGAACTATTTCTTCTGTGAATAATAATGCTATTTTATAATATACGTCAAATAAATGAGGTTATGAGAAAGTTTAGTGGCATTTGCTCAATATCAATTGAGCTGAAGGTCAGAAATAAAAAAAGAAAAATAAAAATAAAATAAATGAATAAATAAATAAATAATAAAAATAAAAAGCTTCATTAATTTACATTGTTCGGTAATTGGCCCAGTATAACTTTCTTATTTCTCAGTTTGAAGAGAGGAGGCTGTTTTCATCAGTGTGGTGCATATTACCACTAACAGAACATACTGGTTTTTTCCAATTAAGATCAAGTAACAAGGAGGTGGTCTTATTAGAAGCTTCTCAGGAAAAGTACTCACAGTAATACCAATTTTCAACTTTTTCATGCTATAATTAAACTAAAAACATTCATGGAATGTAAACATCAGTATAGTATTGAAGTCGCACCTTACAAAGATAGTGCATGAGAGTCATTTTGTTGTTATGAGCTCGAGTCTCGCTGAGTTTCAGAAGACTGTCCAATCTAAATCCAATTGCAGAACCTAAATTGAAAGCCGCAGTTAAAGAGCAAAACAGGTTATAAATACATTATTCTAGCTTCTGAGAAGGTTTGTCTTCATCACAAGTCATTTCTTACAAATCTTTTAAAGATTTAGGGCACCGAAACAAGCTCTTTTAGCTCTGTTGTACTATTTTGACTACCCACATTAATTGCAAACCTAAAAACAAGGAAATGTAAACAAACTTTTTACAAAACATTAGGGAAGGTTTTCCCAACTTTTCTTTAAAGCTTTAAGCAACTAAACTTTTCAAGCAATAGCCGGAAGCAGCTTGCCCTTATAAAGTGTCTGGAGTGTGGATGAACAAGAAGAATATCAGTAGAACACGTACCATTTTTTTAATTTCTTTTCTAAAAGAAACTGCTAACTAGATTCACAAAATCATAGAAAAGCTACAGAATTTCCTTATGAGGCTAATCTGGAACTTTACCAGTCATGATGCTGCAGTTATTACATCACTAGAGTAAGACCCCACGTGACACATGAAACAGGAACTACAACTAAGTGACTACCCGTAGGTATAGCATTATGATGTTCTGTGCTTTGCCTACTGAGTGCCATCTTATTTCTCAGGTTCACATCTTTTAAAAGTACACCCAGAGATTATGTGTCAAATGCATGTCATCTGATTATCTGATCTACAAAATTTGCACATTGTAAATAATCAACATTAATTTTTGCATGAAAAGTTGACTTACCCCTTGCAGTCCCATGGTTCAAAACGTTCCCCAGTGAAAGAATGGTTTGCATTACTCTTTTTAACTTGATTGAATTCCTGACCTGTCAAACAAATTCTTTCAGGTAATAACTTAAAATTGGTTCTAGATGAAGGGGCAGATGAAAGGAGAACAGAGCTTGCCTCTTGAGATGCTGAGTTAACGAGATTCAAAGCGCATCGTAGATCAGAAACCTGTGTAAAAGTGACGTGGATGTAAGATTCAAAAGCTATCAACAGCAGAAAAATCCAGGAAATCTCAGAAACCAAACAGAATTTTTGTACCCGTGAATGAAATTGGATTTTAAAGGAAAATACTCTCAATTTCGACTCTGTTCGTGGAACTTTCATCATCTCCAACAGGAACTGACAGGTTAGAGATCAACGCATGTTAACAGGGCTAAGGTGACAACAAATGCTGCTCTTACGAATATTAGTTCAAATTTTTAATGGTCCAGAAGACCAACAAGATAGTGACAAGCAGATGTGAATGCAGAAGTCAATGAAAAGATGAAGAGGTACACTTCATAATTCTTCCGAAAAAAGAAGACCGGCAGAGTACAGTTTATATTCACATAAGCTAAAAAGAACTAGAACGGGTTGATATAGACTCTGTAGATAGTAAACATGTGTGAGACAAAGAAAAGGACTACTTTTTAAGTCATTTGTCATGTTGCATGAAAACTGAAGGTTTCATTTTCAGCCAAATAGGAATCACAAACTAGAAAGAAATCTCATACCTGCTCACATTTTCCAATGTTCTCTATGTCTCCCTTGTAGTTCTGAAAAGAGAAAGAGAAAGACAGCCATAATCATAAGTTATGTGCAAAGCTATCATTTCCCGGAAAAGTAATGACTGCACAAATACATGCCAAAAGGTGATAAATAGTAATAAGTACACATTAGAAAGCATCAGAAACTAACCTTAATAAGCTCCATTTCTTCTTTTGTTGGACAGAATTTAATCAGATTGTCAACCTGATCAGCATCCCATCTTGAATCATCTAATGAAAGGACCGAACTCTTTTTGAACCACCGGAAAAAAAAAAAAAAAAACATTTGATCAGAAAAACAGTACAATCGTTTTCTCAGACATTTCTACTGAAGGAATAAAAAAAGAGGGAACTACAAAAATATTTTACTGGAAGTAGCATTTAGTAAGCCCACAGTTCAAGAAGGATGTGGGACATACAATGATACCACAGAAAATTCAATGTGGGACTTTTGGAGTCAGTAAATTGGATGGTTTACCATTATATCAGGCAAAGGAATCTTAATCTTTGTCAGCATGATTTCGCAATTGTACGCTCTCCTAAAATCAATCTGCAAATTAAGTACACGCCATGAAACATCAAATAAGTAATCTGTTTCTGAATATTCATTTGTTACTAGGAAAACAAGGGAAAGGATATCTTCTTCCGTTAGTATGACTAGAAGACATTAAGTGAAACGAAGATAAAACTAAACATATACAACGGTGATCCATAATTGGCCTTCTTTCAGATTGAAATTCAATCCTAAGGATATTGTTTTTTAACAAGAATTCCTGTAGGAAATGACTATCACATTTCCACCAGGATGCGCAACGGTTTTTGTTGACAGTAAGGCCTAACTTACCAGGTGAACTTTGTCAGATTTGCTTCCAAAAGCTCCATTTGATTTGCACTTAGTTCTTCCATGTTCTGAAATTGACACAGTAGCCGAAAAAAGACTCTCAAGTTCAGACATGTCGAATTCTGGAGTCCTAGGCAGAAAAACAATTTGAAAAATAGTGAGAAAGCGGCTGGATATGTATCATCAATTAGAGTTTATAAAAAGAAAACAATAAGAAAAGGAAAAAATTGTTGTCATACTTAGAGGTTTCATTGGAATTCCATGTCTCAGCCCATATACTTCCATGTAAGGCTCTGGTCAATTTTAGCCAATGGTATGGCTTCAGAGAGGACCTTTTGGTTTGAGTCTGAGGCTTGGCTGTTGGTAGTCTACCTTTTGCGCCTGTGGGTGGTGCAGGAGTGGCAGGAATCTTGGGGGATTGTAACGTTAATCCATCTTTCGGTAAAGAACTCAATAATGGAGCAGGTGGAGGTGGAATCTTAGGGGAGATTCTAGACATGGAGTCTTTTGGAGGGCCTGGAGGAGTAGGTGGAGGTAATCCAGCAGAAGTCGAGAGTTTCCTTGAATGTGGAGGAACTGGAGGTGGTGGAGGTGGTTGAGGAGTTTTGGCAACCGTATCAAAACTTTTTTCTGGAGGAGGGGAAGAGATTGAAACACTCAAAGATGATACACCAGGGGATACTAACAGGGCTGAACATGAGTCCAGGGTGGGAGAGGGAGCTTCCATTAAAGAATGGGAAGGAGGAGATCGAGCCTGAAGAGCTGATGACGGTACGAATGATGTTGCAGCTGTATCGGAGAGGGGCTCTAAATGTGCAGAAGATAGAGTGGTGCTTTCCATTTCTTTTCCAGGAGGCACCAAAGAAAGTTGGCCACTAGGTGAATCTGTATCAGGAAATGGAGGAGCAACAGTGGTTGGCAAAGACGACGAATGAGTAGAGGAAGATAGACTTTGACTTGAGGAAGGTGAAGTGTCTGATAGAACTGAACATGGTAAAGACAAAGATTTGACAGTGTCATTTGAATTGGTCACTGAATTTGATATTGGTAGAAGCCGCATGCGGGGACTAATTTCAAGTTCTGAGCTCTTGTCTGGTATTACAGAAGGTATTGACTCACCTGAAGAAGCTATCTCATGGATTGGAGAAAGAGCTGATGATGTGTTATTCATGATGGTCGTTTGAACCATAGTTGAGCTACATGAGGATGAAGGTAAAGTAGGAGAAAGAAGAGCCCCAGTAAGTGAATTTTGCGCGGACATGGTTTTTCTTGAGAGAACAGGCCGAGGGGGAGGAAGAGGAGGTGGAGGAGGAATGGACTTATTTGTGGTTAAAGAAAGAGAAGTCCTGGAATGGGGAATGGATGAACCCAATGGACAGGGAGTAGTTTTCGAGTATCCTTTATCCTGTATATGTGCAATAGAGTCCAACTTCTGAGGGGAACTTGGCTCATCTGATGCTGATGAAACAGAAATGGATGATTTTGATAACACTGTGGATGACGCGATGAGCGTCGACAATGATGTGGATGCTGGTAGAGGTGGCGGAGGTGGAGGCGCTGGAATGCTGGTAGCTACAGTCAAAGGAGGCTGTGACTCAGCAGGTGGAACCATGGAGAGCAAACTTGGAGTTGTAGGTTTGCATAGTTGAGGAATAGATGCTGAAAGACTGGATCTCGGAGATAACGCCACCACATGTGACCCCAATTTGTTAGTTGGTTCAGTGTCATGCAATAAGGCTGTAATTCCAAGAGCAGAGTGTGTATTCTGATATCTTGAAAGAGTTGAATGAGACTTCTGCAAGGATTCGGAAGCTGGAATGGATGGAGAACTCTGAAAAATTCTAGGTGAGAGGAGTTTAGATTGACCAGGTTTTACTAAGGTTTGATGAACTTCTTCGGGATGAGTCTTCATTTCTCTTGAGTTCAGAATCGATGAGGCTGAAAATCCTGTCTGCAGTTCTCCCAACACTTTGGAATGGGTGTTGCTAATATCAGATTCCAAGGCACTAGAAATTTGGTTCTCCAGTGTGCTGGATGACTCTTCGTAATCTTCTTCAGCTGCGCGACCAGAACAACTCTCCATGATTTCATTTCGATCAATATCAGAAGAATGGATTCTTCCTAAAGTTTCTTGTGTTCTAACAATGTTTGGTTCAACAGTGTCTTTCTTATCTAGCCTATCCACATCTCCAGGGAAGTCCGGGGGCTTAACAGATGCTTGAAATTGAGAACTTCCAGTTTCTCCAATCGGCACTTCAAGTAAATGTTGTGAAGAGGAGACCAGTTCTGAGAAAAGGACCTTTGTTATAAGAAGCAAGAAATCATCAATAAATTCAACTCTCTACCAACATCAATTTAGAAACAAGAAGAGGAAAAGATTAAGTTTTATACCTCGGCCTTGAAGTCCATGGGAAACTGATCTTGGACACTCCATGGAGTATCAATATCACCGCGGCTAAGTTTCAGAGTATTTGATTTGATAAATGCCGTGTTGAACATGATGCGGAATTTGGTCTCTTCAAGTTGCCTTCCGTGATCCAATGTTATGAACTCCAACACAACATCACCTTTGATATGACAGTTCAGGTCAATCTTAATTGTGTCACAATCTGCCTGCAACAAAGTAAAACGCATAATTCGAGTAAACTTTAAAATCGTATAACAATTTAACAAGATGTCATGGGAAGATTCGTTCATGTTAGGACCAAGAATTTAATCAGCTCAACCATCAACCTTGTTCGGGATTGCATACCAATTAACCTGTACTGCCCTAATAAGATGTGGAATTTCCTCTAGAATGATTACGCTTTCAGCTAAGGCACTCATGGAAAAACAATTATGGATCAAACCAGAACTTGCAAAGCACACAGCTCTCTAGCGTAAAGAAAAAGATAGCTTATACCATTATTAATCAGACATCCCGACCTTTTCGACTTATGGCTTGAGAATGAGGAAAAAGAGAGGCAAAGAAAGGATGAGATGGTGGGATGATAAATAAAGATTTGCTTCTTAAGCAGTTTTGGCAAATCCCAAAACCTAACACAAGATGCATTGTGCAATTTATTAGAAACATTTCAGGCAAATCCTTTTAAGAAGCAGACACATAGAAGTGCAGCAAAATATTAGCTTGTCAGCTGAATAAGTTGCGAAATGTGGTCCCAACTAGAAAAATTGCAGGAAACTTATCAACTCTATGACACTGCTGCATTTGTGTATTCCAATAGAAAAAGTAGAAAAAGAAATAATGTTAGGATTGAGAACATCAAACTGGCTGAAAATCACCTGCTTGAAGTATTCACTGATTTTATTGCTTTGAGTAGAACATAGCAACTTAGGTATTCGATCAGTAGCTTCCATGAGCGGATCTAGTCCATGTATCCTTAATATTGGAGAACAATCACCGTCTGAATCCGTAATAGGGATAGCTCTCAAAATGATGCAATCTACTACCAGACATCTCACCCGGGGTAGCCCCTCTGAGTGCAAGTTTCTTCCTGCTACATACTGCAGGTACCTCAATTGTGAATGTAATGGATTAACTGGTGTCGCTGACTGCAAGAGCTGGGGAGGTGCTTGCTTGTAGATCATCTCCAAAGTTTTCTGTTCATTTGTATACTGCCTTCGATAAATCAAGAGGCCAGCAACCGCAAAAGCTAACATAGGCCAGCCACCATGTTCACTGTTAAGTAAAATGATGTTTCTTTCACCAACATCAAGCCAACTTTCTGTGGACTTCAGAAAGTGATAGATCATCTCTAGAGTGAGCAATGGGCTATCATCATACTGTGTAGGATAGTCAATCACTTTAATGCCATAGTCGGACATGATGTCCACAATCTGACTGTAATTCCCTCTATAAAGGAAGTTGAAAACCATAAAAGAACCATCAGGCCAGTGATCCTGTAGTTTAGTGACTACATCTACTACGTAATCTCTGTAGCTTTCTCCCAAGACATCCATAGAGAAGCAGCAGTCCGAAACTGCAATAGCATAGATGAATCTGTTTAGCTCTCTACAAATAGTAGTAGGAAATACTCTGATAAAACTGAAAACAGATTCAATATAATTCTGCATATGAAGACACAAAGTAACATGCTCGGGGTCACTTCCATAGAAGAACAACTGTCTCACCAATGTTTCTTTTGGTATGGAACAGAAGGAATGCAAAAATGACCAAACAAACTGATGTGTGCAACGTAACTTTGCTACTCCGCTTTTCATTACAAATATGATGGTCTTTTTGTTGTGAAATTTGAATGCTTAAATTAGACTATGTATGGCTCTCCATACCTCGATTTCCAGACTAAAAACTATCTAATGAACATTTCCACTGGAAAGAGAAAATGAGCTTAGAACTAAATACTCTCTCAATAATGACACATCCAAATCCAGTGCAGCATGGCAATTCAAACGAAACTCAGATTTGCAACTAGTAAAAATTCACTCACAAGTTAAAATACTTGAGAGAAACTTCATTACTTGACTGGGAAATAGACATAACACCCACGAGTGCAAAAACATCAGGTAATGTTTTTCAGTTAGTAGTCTTTTCTGTGAAAGATTTCCACCCACTTATGCTTGCAATTACGACGTCATAGAGTCAACCAAATAGGACAGGCGAACATGCCAAAGTAGAACTACAAACCAAAGCCAGAGCAACTACGAATAGAAGTTGGTAAGGATTGCAGTTGTTAAATTTCAAATCAAGAAACTAATGCAGCTCTAGGTGCAATACAAGTAGCTAATCACATACTTGTTTGAGTTTAACATGGATTCACAGATGGCAACCCAGAATAATTTCAAATACCCGAGTAAATTTAGGTCAAGCATGTAATGAAATCAAATGCATAGTACTTGGTTAAAAAGGAGAGTAACAACGAGTACATGTGTTTTGCATTGGTGGAGGATTTAAATCTTTGATCACTTTATATAATCAAATAGCAGTCTTAAACATTGAGCTGACTCCCTCCCTGAACTCTGGAGTTTCCTGGCATTGGAATTTCAGTTTATGCTGAGAGGTTCTACACATTTTACCATGAAATGCTCAGAATCCTTCATTTTTCAACCAACAGAGTAAAAACATCAGTGTCTCACACAGCCAACAGATGATACTTAATTTTGTGCTGCCAATAAGTTTCAAAGCACAGAACAGAGGAATATTTACCCAAAAGTACAGACATGGTACTAAAAGGTGATCACATTGTGCATCTAACATACCATATACTCTTTCAGATATCTCCAAAAGCCCTTGAGGTGGCTTCCGGTAGAATAACTTGCGAAAAAGAGCCATCCCTTTCTTTCACCATCAAAACTCAGCGAGAAGTCCAACAACCCACATTGCATATATAACAGCCCCTCCAACTAGTGTCAACTGAAATGTTCCAATGGCCATAATACCATATATAGAGTCGAATCTGCACAAAAAATGCAAATGTTGCACTAATAATGCTGTTGCCAAGAGAGTATAAATTCAGTAACCAGAAAAATGAAAAAGCATTATACAATATGTTGCTGAGGCTTTAAGGCACACTTGCTGTTGGGACATGTGTCAGAAGAGTTTCTTGGCTTTCAATGGGAGGAACCCAGAACAAAGAATGTGATCAGTTGGCAAAGGGGGTCCAAATTTCAGCAAAGACAAAATAGACAAAATGGTGTGAGAATATTTCTTGTTAAGGTTGGCATAGGATCTTGGTTAGATTTGTCAATGTCGCAATCTCAGAATGTCTGCTGAATTCTTTAAGGATTAAAATAACATTGGCAACAACATAGTATTGATATTATGTTTCTGTTTGCTCCCTTTTTGAGTTTTTTTATGTCAATCTTTGTTCACTTTATTTAGACAGTTTTTGGGTTTTGGGAAGCCTTCATCAGTCAGATTCAAGCACATGCTTTGCTAGGTACTTTTGCTAATGGCTACTGGCTACTGCTTTACCTTTTGCAGTTCGAATGATTGAATGGACGTGGTAATTTTTTCAGTCCACCTCCACTGTTAAACTCGTGACAAAGACTATTGTTTCGATAGAGGAACATAAAAATTAAAAGTATGCAACGCATTTTATAAAATCAAAGGTTATCTTCAGTTCAAGAACACGAGGAAACAATCGGTGAAGATACACAGCAGACACCAAATTTTTCTAAAATCTCTAATAATTTTAGGAAAATACTCCCTCCGTTCCAAAATAAGTGTCGTTTAAACAAAATGGAAAAATTCCAAAATAAGTGTCGTTCTCACGTATCAATGCACTTTTTGTCAAAAATTTCCAAAATTACCCTGGAAAGAGTTAATGCTATTGGTGGATAATTCTATAATGGAGTTGGTCGAGGATATTCAAGTAATTTTATTATCCTATTTAAAAGTTTCTTAAACTACGTGCAAAGTGTAAGATGACACTTATTTTGAAATGGAGGGAGTACCTTTCTTTAAAGTTATTAGTTTTAGGAAACCTCGAGAAGCAAAATGCAACAGTTAATTTCATTGTTGTCCAAAATTAATAGCACCAATTGCCTAACCATTTCACAAGTTTCAAAAGTCTATCCATTTGGCCGTTTTGTCCAAAACCTTTGCCAAATCATATATCCCCGACCTTCAACATTATATCAGACACCATCATTCTTATCATAATTCTAGATTTATGGATTTCAACAGCAAGAAAAATGCCAGTTGCAACAAGAGAATGCAACTCCAAATTGTAGAACAAGGTAAAACACACTGAACCCCTCCCCAAATTGCAAAAATTGGTAACAGTTGCATCATAAATTAAACCCCTCCCCAAATTGCGAAAACTGGTAACACTTAAATTATAAAATTTTAATTTCAGCGATAACATCCATACTGACCAAATGACTAGGTTTTCATCCTTCATACGCCCAACAAAAGCTATGACAGGTTCCCTTTCTCTAAAAAAAAACCAAAATTTGCGATGTTCTTCTATCCAGAATCAAAAAGAAACGCAATGACGGAGCAAGAGACCAAGTTAAACCAATCATTCACTCGTCGTCATCGTCATCGTCATCATTGTTTCCAGCAGCAGAATTCAATGCATTGAGCCTCTCTATCAACCTAGCCTTCCTCTCCTCGTAGGTAAGCTTCTTCAGGTTGTATCTGTGAGACGCAGCAAACAAAAATACATAAGAACAAGAGCACCGTATTATATGTCAGCAAGTGCAGTTAGACTCTAGAAGTTGACAGTAGATATCAAGAAGGCACATATGTAGAATAGGTAGAAACCAACATAATTCACACTTTGAGAAGCTTTTCCTTAGTCAATGCCACGACATATAGAAAGAATATCCCTCAAAACTAACCTCTTGTGCTCCTTTGGAGGCTGCTTCTCAGATTTCTTTGGAGTTGGATCAGCACGGATCGCTGCATGAACCTTCTTGTACAATCCTTCAAGGTCATCCGCCTCAATACCCTTCTTGATGTATTCACTAAAATGGGATTGGAACCTCTCAGGCTCATCTTCCGCCAGAGTCTGCATGTGCAGTTCAGAAATCAAGTGTCACAAGGCAGAATAGTAAACAGAGACAAAGCAGAAGTTAACAGATATACACGCACCCTCATGTATGCAGCAACATGGCCACCGTAGATGTATTTGCGGTGAGTCTCCGGGTCAAGTTCCTTACTATCTTTGCCATATCCGGCAAATCTCTTCTCACTGTGGGGAATGTCAAGACCACCATCAAGTGCCCCCTGAATAAAGCAAGCAAGCATATTGATTAAAAAACAATTCAAAGAGAAACTAAAAACATCACAAAAACAAATGAAGACATACAGAAGCATTCCTCTGAAACATTCCCAGGAAAGACTACAAGTATGACAAACGAAAAAATCTCACAAAAACCAGCTGGGATGTCCTTTAAATAAGAATCCATTGGAAAAATAAATATTACAGCCACAAAAGACTGATGATTTCATCACATTTTATTACTCAATTTCTGATCATTTATCAAACTAATGAATGAAGCAACTTCCCATATTATAATACCGACAGATCGCTTCCATTCAGTTACAGGATTCAAGATCAGAAAAACACAAAAAAGAAATGATACGATGGTTGAACAAAGTTTAAACATTATTAAGTTTTGCAACACAAACTTCCGTAATCTTTAAAGTATGATACCTTCAAGGCACCAAAAACACGATTTCCAGTTGTAGTTCGGATAAGACCAACATCTAAAAGTGCACGGAAAGGTCTCCTGCTCTCAGCTGGTTCAACAGAGTAATCTTCACCAGTAGCCTGTCAACAAAGTAGCTAAATTAAAAATCAGCCGAAACCTAACAGATTTGGCTAACCACAACATTGTGTTGAAGAAAAAGCATAAAGCACACCAATATCCATCAGAGAGCTAACAGTCTGTTACCTCAACATTTCCTTCATACTCCAGATCCATTTCCAGCTTTTTCAGAACTCGGCGAGCTAGAAGAAGTCCAGTGCAGTAGGCTATAGCACACAAAAATCAACTGTCACATTTAACAACGCAAAAAAGAAAAGAAAAAAGAACACTAGATTACAGGATCAGATATTATAGATAACAATCTAGTCTATCATACCAGCAGCATAATTGGTGAGGCCCACTTCAAGACCGTAATGAGGCAATTCATGGGCATAAGCAGCTGCCATCACCATGTCACCAGCAATGCTGGCCGAAACAATCTGAGCAATGACATCCTTCTTGGTCTGAAGGTGGCATTAAGGAACTCAAATAGCATAATAAAACTCCAAATATCACACTGATAACTGTTTTCAACTAGGTTCTACTTGACTCAGAAACATTAAACTTTACAAACATGCAGGAGACCATGAACAAAGCCAGAACCTAGTAATTGAAGCTCGGTGATAAGTATAAAGGACCAATCTCACCAAAAGAGAAAACGGAGAAATTCTAGGACAGGGAAAAGAAATAAGATCAAAAGTAAGCAACCGGAACATTTGAGTTCACCCAACTGCACAGTAAACAAGGATACAAATCTCACAACAAATCGGTATTTTGGAGTGTTATACTTGTTTTTGTCCTGATTGATCAGGCGCACCCTTGCTCGGTAGTCCGTCTTTCCCTCTGAAAAGTTACAAAAATGACAAAACATGTCATCACTAAATCAGAGACTAAATTCCTGTTAAAGCAAAAACAAGAGTAAGAAACCTATTTACCTCTTCTCCTCTTAAACTGAACTTGGTACCTCTTGAAGTAAGCTTTACCCTTTTGGGATTTAACAAAAGCCTACAAAGTAAAGTAAAACAAAGCTCAAATTATTTACAGCAGCACAAATCTTTCATGGAATTAAAGCGTGAATCAAACCATATAAAGCCAACAGGTAACATAAATCAACATATGTATAATCATCAAGTAAACATAAATCACCAATACAAAGTGAATCAAACCAACAGCCAGTACAGCATTCCCGGTCCAAAAGTTATCACAAACGCACATATCTAACTCTACAAGAGTGAGTTCAACAAACAGGTGAATCCAGTTTTCAAATGCAATATTTAAAAGGCAATGGACCATTGAAACTAACACCGTACACTAAACACATTAAAAAGTCTAAATTCGTGATGCTAATGGATCCTATCCAATGACTAAGAAATTGAGGATGAAAAAATGGACAAAAACTAAAATCCCAGAATGGTGGAGAAAGCGCTACAAAATGAATCCTTTAATCCAAGAGCCACCAGAAATGAACATTTCATGTCAGCTCAAACCCACACCCCCCATCCCAAAAACAAGCCCGAGTTGAAATTACTACAGACTGAATCGAAAGCTCAACACCTAAATTTCAATTCCATAAACCCCAAGGAATTAAAAAAAAAAAAAAAAAAAAGAACATATATATACGTTGAAGAGATGAATCCTAGATGGACAGGGGCAAGATATTTTCAAGGATAAAGGAATAAACCGATGAGCACACAGCTGACAAATCCGCTACAAAATCCAAAAACAGCATAAAATCGATTTACATCACAAGCGAAAAAGAACCCATCTTCAAACCGAAAGGAAAAAGATACAAAAGAAGTATGAAGCTCGAAATCTACAAAGACGAAGGTGAAAGGAATCTCTGAAACATTACCATGGCTGCAGGTTCTCCGAGCCGGTTAGCTTGACGGACGAGGGAAGCAAACAAAAGGAAACTGGAAGTGAGACCCGGCGCTAAAATACCAAAAACCCTAAAACCTAGTAAATCTGCGCTAGTGGGCTGGGCTTCAGAAATGGAGCAAATGAATTTGGTGGACAAATAAAATAGCCCAGCTCATGTTTCATTTTCTTCTCTGTTTGGAAAATTATTTTTTATCTCTTTTTGTTGGAGAGCAACTTTATTTTCATTTTTTTGTTTTTCTCCCTGATAAGGGAAGGAAGAAGAGTATTAACGCTGAAATTTGATTTGAGATATTACCATTTTTGTTTTCCTTGTATTGCAAATTCTGATGCTATTTAAACAAAAACGCATGTGAGTTAATTATTGCTCTGTCCGTCCCAAAAATTAAAAAAAATAAAAATAAAATAAAAATCAATATTATGTGACAATTAACTACTATTTACTCCGTGCGTGGCTCGGAAAATATGGAATGGGTGTGAAATGTGTTTAATGGGGAGATAAAGGATTTCTATTTGTTAAATAATAATAAATTTTAACTGAATTTCACTATTATAAATATATACGCTTGGGGCATTTAAAATTCCAGTAGAGACAGCACATAGAATTGATCAATACTTGGCCAGGGTCATATGGAAAGGAGATGTGGAAGGAAGGGGAATTCACTGAAAGGCGTGGCGGATATCTGTAAATCCAAAAGGAGGGGGGGGCTTGGGGATGCATAAGACAATATATATGAACCAAGCACTTTTGGAAAAGCTGGCGTGGAAGACAGGCTGCGGGGACGATTCCATATTTGCAAGAGTATTCAGGGGTAAATATGTAAGTCAAAGGACTTTTGGAAAGTGGAGACGCCGGGGGTAGCAACGTGAAGTTGGAAGGGGATCTTGTGAGGTAGAGATCTTATTCGGACTGAAGTTCGGTGGAAACTTGGAAATGGGAGGAGAGTCAAATTAAATCAGGAATGGATACCAGGTACGGTTAATCCAGTGACAAGGAGACATATGCAGAGATGGGAGCAGAGCTTGAGGGTGGCAGACTTGATCACAGGACCAATGAATTGGAATATGAGGTTAGTGGAGGCGTTGTTTCCAAAAAAAAAGGTAGTGCCTAACATTTTGGCTATAATTGTGGGGGCAACAGACCTGAACAAAGAGGATAAAATGGTCTGAGGAATGAAAGATCAGGGTAGTATTTGGTGAAGTCAGCATACCATTTACCTGTGAATCAGAGGGCAGAATTGAGTCCCGGGTCATCAGTAGTGAGTAGGGACAATGGAGAGGAGGAAGAATGGTTTTGGAAGGTACTGTGGAGATTAAGGGTGTCGCAGAAAGTTAAGGTCTCGTTCGTCGAACTCTCATTTTGCCCTTTTGTCTCATTTTACCTCTTAAAACACCTTTCAAACACAAAACCTAATACTATTACTTTTTAATTTACCTTTTAAAATTTATTTCAAAAATTATTTTTACACAAGTTTTATCCACAATCACCTTACCACCTCCGACACCACTGTCCGCCTTCGGACCGCCTACTATCGCCGTTGTTCTGCCTCCGGCCGGACGGATTCGGGCGAGTTGGCCGGGATTTAGCCGGATTCCGGCCGCCGCTGCCGCCACCGATGGTGGAGGTGGTCCGACGGTAGTGTAAAAATATTATTATTTTATTTAAAATATTACCCAAATAATTTTTTAAATTTTCTCTGAAAACACATTTTAAATCACATCTCAAATTCAAACCAAAAATTAAAACAAACAATTGTCCATACAAGCCCTTAAGTTTTCTCCCTGACGAGCTATGGAAAATGGTGGGTGGTTCAGGGAGGCACCGATGGAGGAGCATAAGAAGTTGTCTGCGGGAATTTTATGGGCCATTTGGGTCACAAGAAATAAGAGGGTTGAGAGTGTTGGATGAGGCTGGCTAGGTTATTCGACAGATCCAGAGGTGACAGGATGAGAGCAGGGAAGGAGAGGGAGGGACATCAACTGGAAGCGGGGTTAGGGAGGTATGGC